GGGCCTTACTTACAACATTGTTATTCTTTGAAACAAGCTTGAAATACTTACTGTGCTATTTCAGCAAGGTCAAACCAATGGCTGCTTCTCTCATGCTTACACTTATGTGAGGCTGAAGCTCTGATTGGCTGCCTATTCCTCTATTCCTGAGCCAATGGATAGGCGATCTTTTACCTCCAGCCATGTCCTCTGTGATCTCCTTGCTGTCTCTCCCACAAATATCATTTGACAAGTGGCTGCAGTGACATGGGAAGCTTTCAGAATCTTAAATAATACATTTATTAAATCCAGAATGCTGGTGATTTGAGGGAACTTTAGCACAGTCACAGTGCTTCCTGGATGGTCAATTACTTAACTACAACTTTTATTTGCTGCCTGGACTGCAGCATTCTCAGGAACATAAAATCTATGGGAGGTGGATAGTGATGATACGTGTCCTTTAATAGGTGGGGCTTATACCAAAAGCATCTGCCTATCCTCCAATGAATGGTGAAATAGCCAGCAATTATACTGAATAAATAAACTGAAATGTGCAGATTGCACCATGTTTATTTTACAATTAAAATAGTGGTATCTGAACACAATCAATAACAGGCACACAATATGGGTACAACACAGGAATGACATGTACACTAACAGTCCACAGCAACAATAAATTAATTACTCTAAAGTATACTTGTGGCCTATGAAGTAGAGGGCAAGCATCCTGGGAGTTATCTTTGCAGCAGAATGTCACTAAGGGGTTAGGCAGCTAATTTAATGGAGCAGGGGAGGCTGCACTGACATTATTTCAGTGGTCTATTCAAGCCTCATGGTGACTTAGAGTCTCTTGTTAGCACATTCTGGCCAATGGGAGAATCCTTTTAAAGCCCCCTGAACGTTTAGGCAGGCCATAGACAATGCAATTTTCTTTCCTATAACCATGGGTTGCAGGAAAGAAAACTGCTCGATTCCTTCATCAACACATTCAGTGTTGATGGGGGAATTCCTCCTGTGGAGGTATTATGTTCTCTCAGGGGGGGCGTCCCTGCCAGAAGAACACTGATGATTGTTAACGGCTATAGCTGCTGGCAATAATCACATGAAAAATCTGACAGGCCGGTTGTAATTCGTACAGCAATTGAATTTGGTACAAATTGGCCTGCCCATTGATTGTTCGAATCTCAACCAGTTCCTGCTGAATCGGCTAAGATTCAAACCATCTATGGCTGGCTTAAATTTAAATCTTCCAAAAATATTCCAGGAGCCTAAAAACAAAAAGGCGTGCAAAATCTTCCACTTAGTTTTCTAAAGCTGTTCCTTGGCTAGCAGCTGCAAATAGGACCTCCAGCTCTCTGTGTGGAAGCAGCGGTCTATCTGCAGACCTATAGCTCATGCTCCCAACTTTGACTTATCTGGGGGAGGCTGTTAAACCTTTGCAGAGACCATTGCCTGCATATAGAGCAAGGGTTATTCTCTGCAGTATGCTGGCAGGAGACAGGTTTTACTACTAAGGATGTGCGTGACTTTATAAAAAAACAAACCTGTAAGACGTTGCACACATTTTGTTTTGATGCATCCGGGATGTATTTATCTAATTTAAACTACAAGTTGAAGAGTCAAAAACATGGCTGTTGCCTCTTTATGTACAAGCATTCGACCAGCACGCTCTACAGACTAGTTCTCCACAGCCGCAGGACTGAGAAGACCTTAACACTTGCAACAAGGCAGTCACAACTAGAGGTAAAAATGATTTCACAACTTGGCTGCCTCGTGGACTTTTGAAGGGGAATTTTTATGGCTTTGAAAGGGTTTACATCACTGTGGATCCTTTTATGTAACAACTTGGCCTCCCATGCAAGAAAAAGTAAAACTGAGTTTAACAGCCCTCAGTTTTTGAGTACAGAAGGCTCTCCAAAAGCAATACACATTTTTCATATATGCCAGTGTCCCCATAATACATGTTTCATCTATACTTTACAGATAATGCAGTGTTACAAATCCCCGATCTCTCTCTCCTTGTGGCTTTCTGTAGGTGCAAACCACTTCTGTGCCATCACCTACCCTTTATAGTTAGCTGGAAAGCCAGTTTATCTGCTCAAATAAAGGATGGGGCTTATGTAGCACCAATTGTGACTGTCTGTAACTGATCCTGCCTACAGCACCCCTGCTTAAAGTGGAACTTTAGGCTGCCATAGAAGAATGGACAGGATTTTTTACGCAGAAGAGACATACTTTGTGTCTTGTGCATTAAAGTTGCCTACCTGCCTATTCATCCCTGTACAGTAAGGTGTGCACGCGCAGCTCACTGTACAGATTCAGCAATGCCGAATCTGACTGCACTCCCACGCAGGTGCGGAAGTGACATCATCCCCGGTCAATGAAAGCGGTCAGTGGTTAAAACCCGGATGCCGGCCGGGAGATCTGGGACATTACATTGCTGGATAACAGGCGAGTATAGTTCCACTTTAATGATACTTGGAATTATAGTACTCATCCCTTTTCAGTACGGAGATCAGCAATGGAAGCCCACCTTACTCCCAGTGATAAGGTTTCCTTTAAATTGTATCTAAACCAAATAACAAAAATGTAATATATTGAAGAATACCAGATCTTAGATGTAGCTGCATTCCTTTTCTTTTTTCAGCCTTTTTTTCTTTCTTTTTAACCTGATGATTCTGGCATTAACACACTCCCTGTACTAGGGTAACAACTCTTACTCACTGTGCAGTAGCTGTGGAAGAACAGGGCCACATGAGCTAAACTGCCAAAAGAAAAGAAAGCTGGCTGCCAAAATTTCAGTGATGAAAAGTAATGATCTGGCAAAATGACAAGCAGTCCTATTCTGGGACCTCCTCCACTGTCATATTTCATTCACAAGACTGGGCTTTATTAAAGAGGTTCCATATTAAACATTGTTGCATTTAACAAAGTGCTGCCAGTTTCCTTTTCTATGAACTTGGCAGGGTTGATCATACTGCTTATGATTAGCAATTATGTGTTTTACAGATTAAAAGGGAGAGAATAAGAGACATTCATTGTTAGGGTTTACATACACTTCAGCTATGACATACTATAAAAGGAAACCTTTAGTGAGAGATATATGTTGGCTACCTATGCTTTTCTCCTCCTGAAAAAGCCAACTGCTTAGCTATACTTGGCTACAGTTAGTTTCACGTTTTTTATCCTGAAACAAGCATGCAGCAAGTGAACCTCTGAGCTCCATGTTTGTAACATGTACACAACTAAAGATTTTAGATCAGAATCACAGCCAGCAACCTGCATTAAAGGAGAGTTCAGTAACAGTTCATGTGTCTTCTCACTGCAGAGATCCTTTCAGATTGAGGTGATTGCTGACAAACTGAATCTCATGGCAGCTTCTTCCATCTCCCAGAGGCACCAGTGGTGACATTTCCCAACCAGAAGTCCCAAATATACTTAGTTGCTGAGACCATAATACGCTCAGTGGTTACTATTGACTCGAATATAAACGTATACACAAAAAACTGGCGGGTGCAGCTGCTAGACAGTGACAGCTTTGTCATGGCAGGGTAGGAGGGCAGAGACACTGAATTCCAATAGGTTATCCTGCCAATGGAGCATTATAAGGAAAATGGGGAGAAAAAAAAAATAGAAGAGCTTCAACCTTTCAATGCCAACCCAGAACCAAAATCTGGGCTGGGTGGATTTGACCTTTAAAGCAAACCTGTATTGGTAACAAAAGTGTTAACAAACCAGAACATGCCTGCTGAAGTTATGACATCTGACAGTGAATGATGGGGGAGGGGTTGGTCTCTACTTAGTAAAAAGCTAAGGCTCCATGTACAGCTTCCGGCTAGGATGCCAGGGGGAGCTTTACTAACAAAGTAGTACAAAACAACACCATTTCAGTACTGTCATCTGTCAGGCTGGAAGGGTGTTGCTGCCCATGACAGGCCCCTGCATAAGAGCAGACAGTGTTTCCCATAACAGGGCCCAAACGGGTAGCCCCAGCCCCCCACAAAAGGGACCCAAATGGGCATCCCCCTGCAAAGGGGCCTAAATGGGGAGGCCTTCTCATTCACCAGCTGAAGAGTTAGCGTCTCTTCTCAGTTTTTAAGTATCTGTGCTCCCACTAAAAAATATTCAACCATACTTCCTGCCCTAGTGACAGCGGCCACTGGAATATGAAGGTGAGAAGCAATTAAAAAATGTTATAGCTTTCACCAGGACAGAAATGGAGAGGACATTTTTCAATGGGGTCACCTCTGTCTACTGACATTGTCTAAAATGGAATTCCACTCACTTCGGAGAGCTTTCCTTTAATTTCCTTTTGTGTCTCTAGAAGGTGATGGTAAATTGTTCAATAGGGAGACACCAGCTTTGGCCACAGCTGTCAAAAAGGGAGAAATCCCCTTCCCCAGGGGACAGCCCCCCTTACTTTTAGTTGCACTCCAAGACAGGAAGCAAGAAGAAATCTCTACAATGGTGTCACAAACAAAAAAAAAAAGAATTTTCTAAGCTTTCATTCACCACTGGAAAAAAAAGTGTATAACTTCACTTTGTCGCATTTAGAGCAATTCTGATTTCTGGAATTATGAATCCCCCCCCCTATAAAATACAGAACTGAGAGCATACTTAAAGGAATGTAATGACCATCTTGCACTCCACTCATACCATTTCCGTACGCATGATATAAAAATACTTCATAATTTATCTACACGGTTCTTTAAAAAATAGCGCTTCAGAATTTAAGTCCCCATCCCCCCCCCAAAGCTAAAATATTGGTGAACTCTACAATGCCCTATAAATAACTTGTGCCATCTCTGGCTAGCAGTAAAATAAGGTCTCCGCTCTTAATTGACATCCGGTTCTGGGTGAAACGTACAGGTATTCCTGCGGCTCTGGGCCCCAGGTGAATCAGTCAGTTTTCCAGTGTACCAGTAGAGGACAGCAGTCACTTTAAAAATCAGATTTCACAGAATTTGGCTTGTTGTTCCTTTAATAGGCTCTGTTCCATCCAGGCGGAAGGAGGCGGGGCCTCAGCTTTTCCGTAAATTATGGTCCGTGCTGTTGACCAGGGCAGAAAGGGAGGAGCTCTCTAGAGATTCATCTTTTCTGAGGTTCAAGAAGGACTCCCGGGTGATCTGGAGGATCTCTCGTAAGCCTCTATTCTCTTGCTGTTGGGGAACAATATAAAGAAAGAAGATTTGATGACAAAGTGAAATAGTGAAACTGCTTAAGAACGTGGTTCAAATAAAATTAAAGCAAATCCCCACTTTTGCAGTCACATTGGAGAAAAAACCCACTATATGTTTGGCATGTGTTCCGAATCACAAAGCAAAAAAAAATTCTTAACCTTTTAGATGTTTCTCAGGAGGTGTCATGGCTCACTGAAAGGTTTTTTGAACAAAGTCAGAGTAGTTTGTCCTCATTAACATACGATGCAAGAAGCCCAGCCCCTAAACCCTTTATTAGGACAGTGTTACAACCCATAGAGAAAATCTGCCTACACAGTACACACAGGGTCAGTTATGGCAAACACAGCTTCCCAAAAACAAAGAGAACTAGCAGGATTTTTCCTTGCTGGAGATTCCAGAATAGAGCAAGTAAAAAAGGTAAGCTGCAATTTTTAAAGCCATGCTATGTGAATGAGAACATGCAATAAATATATAATAGGTTTTCTCCCAATTTGGCTACAGTAGTGGAAATCCACCTTAAAGCGGAGCTCCACCCAAAAGAGGAAATTCCGCTTTAAGGGCTGCTCCCCATTAAGGATTGGCACCTTTGGGGGGTGGGGGCGATCGGAAGTGGAAGTTGTCCTCCCCCCTCCCTCCCTCCCTGTAGTCTTTTGGGACATGTGACAGGTCCCAGAAGACTACAGAACCATTCATGAAGCGCAGAGCTACTCACGCATGCGCAGTGGGTACCCGGCTGTGAAGCCGCAAGCCGTCACAGCCAGATGCCCACAATGAAGATACTGGCCTCCTGGAATCCACACACCATGGGACCGAGGGACAGGTAAGTGGCTGTTTTTCTTAAAAGTCAGCAGCTACAGTTTTTGTAGCTGCTGACTTTTATTTTTTGACAGGTGAGTGGAACTCCGCTTTAAAGCTGAACAACTAGGAAACAGAATTATCCAACATAAAAGTTCCCTTTGTCATTACAGGGCATCCTTTAGAAGTATCCCTAGTTGGAGCCGGTGGAAGGAGCAGACGTTTGTTGTACAACAGACTTGACTTCTGAGGGTTTCTCACTCACCTGTCCATTTCCCCTGACCATGCAGGCTCCACAGTCCCATCCATGCTAGCTCTGATAGTGCACAATGAATGCACAGCGAGACACTAGGATGTCTTATCAGACTTAGTGTGACCAGGACTATGGGCCCTGCATAGTCAGTGACAGAGAAGCAAGAAAACGGTCTTGTCATGTCCGCAGCACCCTGCTGTACAACTAAGGAAAGCTTCAACCCTATACTGCCACTGTAAAACAGCACATACAATTTCTTACTTCTATTGGAGCAAGCACATTTGCATGGTATTTAGGTAACAGGACATCTACATTTTTATGACAAATTAGTTGTGCCCAGAATTTAGCTTTAAATTATATCTAAAGCCATTTTGTCATAGCAGGGGAGAATTAAAACCTTGTTGTCTTTTTTTCTGCCCTCTGTGTACCCATTGGGAAAGGTTTCCTTCACTGCCTGTCCTGACGACACAACAGGAAGTTAAAGGAAATCTCTCCAAACTGAGGGAGACAACATCTTGGGTGCCCCGATTGGATGTATTTTCCCTTCATTCCTGTTCTAGTGAAAACTAATAAGTTAGGATTTTCCCCTCAGTTTCAGCCTTGGTGACAATGTTCACCAGCGCAAACAGAAAGGGTGAATTTTTTCAATGGAGAGTAATAAAAAAAATCTGGCAAAGTTTTTAACCTGTCACCGCTTTCAAAAACTGAGAGAAGAAACAATTTTGGCTTTACATACAATTTAAACATGTTTTTGAGGGGAGCAAAAAAAAAAAAAAATCCCCCCTACAGCTTTCAAGGATTTCAACCAATTTTACCAAAGACACTTTCTTATGTTAGTCTTCTGGCTATTAAAGCAGTAATAAACCCAAAATCAAACATTTATTATATTGCAGCTTACCACTTCTTAGAAGTGATGGCTGTATTGCTTCCTTTTTTGGCTTTCTTCTATTTTCATCTGATCCAACCAGTAAGTCTGTTGTTTTTCAACAGAACATCTCTCATGAAGTTACAGGGATTAGACACATCATCTACCGCTGGCAGGGGTGCTTAAAAGGATCAGCTTTTATTCATTTATGGAAAACTTATCCCCAAAGGGAAAAACGATTTGTTGTCATTATTAAAGTATTAGCTGGTGTTCAGTTTCTATTTGTTAGTGTATATAAATCTGCTAGTACGTCTAAAACTCGCCTTCCCCCTGACTGACAATGCTGCTGTCCAACTCTGCTCCATGTACTCCTTCCTCCAGAGTGGTGTCTGTATAATAAATGAGGTGTGTTACTGCCACTACATCTTTTGGTAAGCTGGTCATATTACATTTTTGGTTTTGGGTTTAATATTGCTTTAAGTTGGACCATTTTAGCACATTTGTTGAAATCATTCAAAAAAATACTGCTTTTTCAGGCGTTTGATATTTTTTTTTTCTGCCTGCAAACGCACCTCTATGTTAGCCTAATTGTCCATGCAGACATAGTCATTTACAGGTGAATTAAAAGAGGAGGGTTTACAGGCTGAAAACCGCCCCCAACATCAACAGCATGCATTCAAAAGAGGAGTTTTGGCCAGAAAAATTACTTGCAAGCACGTCTAAGCATTCATTCATTCCACTGGCCAGAATAAATAAATTCTGGCCAATGAATTCTTAAACGTGTGTGCAGAACGCGGCTTTGCGCATGTTTTTTTAAGGAGAAAAGGCTTTCAGGAGAGTGGAGCAAAAGCTTAGTGTGCACGAGGTCTTAAGAAGTATGAGACATTGGAATTACATGTATAGTCTTATCTTGCAATGAAATAAAAGGCCTGTATTTGCTAATGCACTACTGACAGTTCTCAACAGGTCCCAACAAGGAGGCGGGGGGCGGTAACAGAGTGCAATCCTTCCCCTCTTTTGCTTCTTGGTTTAGATGTGTTTTGTGGGTGTGCTTTCCTTATGCATGCGCTTCACATGCTGTATTCTTAGAAGGCCCGAATCACAGAACACACAGCATGAATGAGTGGTAGGAGGAGGAGGAACAGCTGCGCACTAACAGGGATGTCACAAACACGCATCGCAAGCAGAAAGCCAACACCAATCGCATATAGGGAGGGACAAATGTGGAGGATCTCTAAAGTATTATCGGAACATTGCCAAAGAAAGAACTGGAGCCACGGAATTTATTGATTATAATCGAGCAGCACAGTGGCTAAATGGTTAGCACTTCTGCCTGGCAGTACTAGGGTCGTTGGTTTGAATCCCAACCACAGCACCACCTGCCTGGAGTTTGCATGTTCTCCCTGTGCCTGCGTGGGTTTCCTCTAGGTACTCCGTTTTCCTCCCACACTCCAAGGACATGCTGGAAGGTTAACTGGCTCCTGTCTAAATTGGCCCTAATATGTGTATATATGAATGTGAGTTAGGAATCTTACATTGTACGCCCCTTGAGGGTTAGGGACTGATGTGAATGTACAAATATATATGTGTAAAGCGCTGCGTAAATTGACGGCGCTATATAAGTACCTGAAATAAATAAACAAACTGTGCATTTCCACCTACAGGATTACACTGGATCTTCTATTGACATCAGCAAGCAACAGAATGAAAATATGTATACCCTATACTCTCTTAAGTTCAATGCAGACTACAGTGGGAGGCAGTTAGGAGCAGGGGGACACATAAATACATACATACATGTGTGCGCAGACATGACACACCTCAAGTTTTAGGATCCTGTCATATTCCTGGGTACCACATTGTTCATCAATTTCAATTGCACGTTTTTCATCACCGCCGTCATCTCCGTAATTTTATCTACATGAGTCTGTAAGTCCTAAGAAAAAGACAATGATATCTTCCTTAGTTGCTTCATGGAGATTAAGGAGTCTCTGCTGTTGGAATTAAAAAATGAAAAAAAAAAAAAAAAAGCACCTTCCTTGGACAGATGACCATTAACCGTTACCTTTCTTGCCACCCACATTACTGATCTCTGCTGTACCAAAAAGATGCCACTGACAGAAGGATCTTCAGAGTCCGACACTCCTGGTTCCTCTATGAGCACTGTGGTGCCTCCATAGGCCCTTTTCCTATTACTACCTCCTGAAAGGATGTAGGGCCAGCGGATGAACCACAGTGAGTTGTATTGCTCTCAACCCCTACAGGTATTTCATTGCCTCATTATTTGTGTAAAGAAACAATAAAACCACAATAGCTCCAAATTTGTTTTCTGTGTTTAAAGTGTTACTAAATCCAGGAAAAAAAACTATGAAAAAGAATTCACAAAGAGTAAGCGGTTATATTATGGACAGGTATCGATACCCATGTGTATCATTTTCTGTCCATAATGTAACCGCTTTCTGTTTGCAAATTCTTTTTCACAGTTTTTTTGCTGTGTTTGGTTACTGAGCAGATATAATATGTTCAGCGATACAAGTTAATATTAAACGGCCTCAATCTCTTTTGTTGTTATTCATTACTAAACCCCGGACCCTACATTCACTATATCTGGTCTCCCACAATACACACAACATGGAAATGCAATTATTTTAGTAAATATAAACTGCTAAAGACCTTTTTTCATCAACAGTTAGAGCAGTCTTGTGACTTCTATCAGTGTCCAGGTGAGCACTGGTTAATAAAGCTTGTAAAAGGAGTTTCTCTCTAGGAGGATGGAAATCCCCTGACCTCTGTCTGGACAGTGCTGACTGGCCCTGTGCTGATCACTTGAACTCTCACAACAACAACAAAAAAAAAAACTTCTCTACACACCAAACTGAGCATGTGCATGTGACTAGATTTAGTCTGTATCAGGTGGACATTTCTACAAAAAGAGAGGCAGAGAAGACAGGATCAAACAGCCTTTTTACACAATGCAGAGGATTAACCCCTTAGGTTCCACAGTGAGTATAACAAGCATGCTTTACTGCATATACAGACTGATTTTACTGTTGTGGGTTTAGTAACACTTTAAGTCTGCTTTAAAATTGTTAAAGCCTTGAAAAAAAGATAACCCTTAAATCATCTACTAAGCCTAGTCAAAAAATGTGCTGTTGGGCTCCTTGTATAGCTGAAATCCTCCTCCTCTGATCTCATTCCTCTTCCTGTGAGTGTGGGTTAATGGAGCCAAAAAAGCCCATTTGCACTCATCCAGAGCATCAACTATGCCCACTTCCTCCATTCATAGAAGCTGTACTATAGCTTCTATGAATATAAAACACTCTCTGAATTAGGGAGGTGGACCTATCATTCATCCACACGTCCTCCATTCAGAGTCTCATTCATTTCATCGGGGGGGAAGGGGGGGGGGGGGGGAATTGGAGGAGGAGGATTTCAACCAAATAAACACAGGGGCACCTCAGACTGATAGTAAAGTTTTTCCCTTGTGCTGAAGCTAAACTTAGGCTTTAATGGGTCATGAGACAGTAAAGGGGAGTATTTACCAGCTTGGTATTTTGGGATAATATACTGAACACACCATCTGTACCGTTCTAATAAAATGTTATTACAAGCCAAGCTGAGAACCACCAACTATGCAAACCTACAAAATTCCATAGAAAAAAACAACTAAAGGGTTAAAACACGCTCACAGCAGTGGTTTTAAAGTCTAACTGCAGGCTCTCCTATTTTATACAGAAGTGACTCAGGCAGCTGTAAATCCACCCGATCACTTATTTCTCTTGCTCAGTGTATGAGTGATACAGTGTTAGGTTTCATATACACTGGCATCTCCTAAACTTGAATTTAGCAGCTTTTGGTGTTTTTTTTTTGCCAACACTCCTAATCTCATCTCCATAAACGCCTGGGTGTCCAAGTACACATAGGCTATTAGGAGCGTTTAGCAGCTGCGGCATTTAGGTGAGGTTAAACCTCCCCAAGGTTTTTGCTGCCAGCCGCATGAAAATGTAAAACGTGCATAAACGCAGTTCAACATTTACATGCATTTTTGCCATGTTTTGATTTTCCCGCTGCCTTGATAAGGGTAGACTAGTGTACATGTAGCCTTAGAATGCATTTGAATTAATCTAATTGTATTTTTTACTGAAAGCAGAGATTTTATTACCAGCTGTACCAATATAGTGTGGCTTAAAAAAATTGCAACTGACATTATTTTGTTCTATAGGTCCTCTGCTTTCAGAAAATATACAGCAGGAAAATTAAGTATTGAACACGTCACAATTTTTTTTAAACATGGTGAGTATATTTCTACAGGTGCTATTGACAGGAAATTTTCACGTCGGTAACAACTCATACATACAAAGAAACCAAACAAATAAGTTCAGAAATTAAGTTATGTGTAACAAAATAAAATAACACAGGGAAAAAGTATTGAACACGCTAACTGAAATTTATTTGATACTTGGTACAAAATCCTTTGTTGACAGTTTCAAGACACCTCCTGTATGGAAAAATTGCTGCATGCATTGCTCAGGTGTGATTTTGGCCTATTCTTCCACAGTCTTCAAATCTTGAGGGTTCCGTGGGCCCCCCCTGTGAACTGATTTTTTTTATTGGATTCAAGGCAGGTGATTGGCTGGGCCATTCTAGCAGCTTTGTTTTCTTTGAAACCAACTGAGTTTACTTGGCTTTGTGTTTGGCATCATTGTCTTGATGAAATGTCCACCCTCATTTCATCTTCATCATCCTGGTAGATGGCAGCAGATTTTTTTATCAAGAACGTCTTGGTACATTTTTCCAATCATCCTTCCTTCAAAGATATGAAGTTTGCCAGTACCGTATGCTGAAAATCAGCCCCACACCATGATGTTCCCACCTCCAAACTTCACAGTTGGTATGGTGTCTTTGGGGTGATGTGCAGTGCCATATGACCTCCAAACATGGTGTGTATTAATCGCATCTAAAAAGTTCAATTTTGCTCTCATCTGACCAGACTGTCTATATTCTCCCAGTATTTCACAGGCTTGTCTAAAGGTTGTGCAGCAAACTTAAAACGAGCTTCAACATGATTTTTCTTCATCAATGGAGTCATGCCTGGTGAGTGTGCATACAGGCCATGGCGGTTGTTTACATTACTTATTGTTTTCTTTGAAACAATTGTAGCTGCTAATTCCAGGCCTTTCTGAAGCTCTCCACAAGTGGTCCTTGGCTCTTGGACAACTCTTCTGATAATTCTTTTCACTCTTCTGTCAGAAATTATGCGAGGAGCACTTGGTCGTGACCGCTTTATGGTGAAATGATGTTCTTTCCACTTCTGAATGATGGCCCCAACAGTGCTCACTGGAACATTCAGAAGTTTAGAAATCTTTCTGTAACCAATGCCATCAGTATGTTTTGCAACAATAAGGTTGGGAAGGTCTTGAGAGAGCTCTTTGCTTTTATACATCATGAGAGGTTTCTTGTGCGATAACCTTGGTAATGACTGAGACACCTTTTTATACAGTTGCAAGAAAAAGTATGTGAACCCCTTGGGATTACGTGGAGTTTTGCATGAATTGGGCAAAAAATGTGCTCTGAATGTCATCTAAGTCACAACAATAGAAGAACACAGTCTGCTGAACATAATACTACACAAACATTAGATGTTGCCATGGTTTAATTGCACATAACATGTAAACATTCACAGTGCAGGGAGGAAAAAGTATGTGAGGCCCTAGCTTAATGACATCTCCCAGAGCTAATTGGAGCCAGGAGTGAGCCAACCTTGACTCCAATCAGTGTGATGATATTGGATGTGTTGCTGACAGCTGTCCTGCCCTTAAAAAACACACCTGTTTTGGGTTTACTGGTTTCAAGAAGCACTGTCTGATGTGAACCATGCCTCGCAGAAAAGAGCTCTCAGAAGACCTACGATCAAGAATTGTTGACTTGCATGAAGCTGGAAGGGTTACAAAAGTATCTCCAAAAGCCTTGATGTTCATGTGTCCACGGTAAGACAGACTGTCTACAAATGGAGAAAGTTTAGCACTGTTGCTACTCTCCCTAGGCGTGGTTGTCCTGTAAAAATGACTGCAAGAGCACAGCGCAGAATGCTGCATGAGGTAAAGAAGAATCCCAGAGTGTCAGCTAAAGACCTACAGAAATCTCTGGCACATGCAAACATTTTTGTTGACACATCTACAATAAGGAAAACATTAAACAAGAATGGAGTACATGGGAGGACACCACGGAGGAAGCCATTGCTGTCCAAAAAGAATATTGCAGCACGTTTGAAGTTTGAAAAAAAAACACCTGGATGTTCCACAGCACTACTGGCAAAATATACTGTGGAAAGATGAAACCAAGATTGAGTTGTTTGGGAAGAACACACAACACTATGTGTGGAGAAAAAAAGACACAGCACACCAACATCAAAACCTCATTCCCACTGTGAAACATGGCGGAGGGAGCATCATGGTTTGGGGCTGCTTTGCTGCCTCAGGGCCTGGACGGATTGTTGTCATTGATGGTAAAATAAATTCCAGAGTTTATCAAGACATTTTGCAGGAAAACGTACGACCGTCTGTCCGCCAACTGAAGCTCCGCAGAGGATGGGTGATGCAACAGGACAATGACCCAAAGCATACAAGTAATTCAAAAACAATGGCTGCAACAGCACAGAATACGCCTTCTGGAGTGGCCCAGTCAGAGTCCTGACCTCAACCCGATTGAAATGCTGTGGCATGACCTTAAGAGAGTGATTCACACCAGACATCCCCAGAATATTGCTACACTGAAACAGGTTTGTGAAGAGAAGTGGTCCAAAATTACTCCAGATCGTTGTGCAGGTCTGATCTGCAACTACAGGAAACGTTTGGTTGAGGTTATTGCTGCCAAAGGAGGGTCAACCAGTTATTAGGTCCAAAGGTTCACATACTTTTTCCTCCCTGCACTGTGAATGTTTACATGTTATGTGCAATTAAACCATGGCAACATCTAATGTTTGTGTGTAGTATTATGTTCAGCAGACTGTGTTCTTCTATTGTTGTGACTTAGATGACGTTCAGAGCACATTTTATGCCCAATTCATGCAAAACTCCATGTAATCCCAAGGGGTTCACATACCTTTTCTTGCAACTGTAGGCCATTAGTTGAAACGGAACCAGCTGATATTAATTTGCACTGACAAGGGGCAGGATTGTTTTCTGACAGATTACAGCTGGTGTCTTGGCTTTCCATGCCTTTTTGCACCTCCCTTTCTTCATGCGTTCAATACTTTTTCCCTGTGTCATTCCATTTTATTACACATAACCTAATTTCTGAACTTATTTGTTTTGGTTTCTTTGTATGTATGGATTGCATGGGTTGTTACCAACATGTGGTGAACATTTCATGTCAATAGCACCTTTAGAAATATATTTACTGAGAAACATGGTAACGTGTTCAATACTTATTTTACTTGCTGTATGTCATTTTTTTTCTTTTTTTGTGGAAAAATGCATATTTTAACTTGCAAAACGGATAAGTACTCTAACGGAGCAATTTACAGGAAGCACATAAAATACTGGGTCTTAAAAAACATTAAAGCTGAACTCTGGGCTGGTTAATAATTATTACACATATTTACCATCCCTATACACATAGTGAACACACATATATTTTTTATCGTGACCTAGTTTCTGTGTAAAATTATTTTGATAGAATCTGTAATGTCATCTTTTCGAATTAGAAACTGCACCTATGCCTGGAACCTGGAGGCAGTACCAGTGCAGAAAGTACATCCTTTCCTGTCTCTATGCAGGGCTGCAAGAAAAACTACAATCCCCATCAACTGGAACAGTAGCCAACAATGGGCTAGAATTAAGTAGGGATTGTGGGCAGGTTTCTGACCGATCCCTAGTAATAGTGGGACGACAGACTAGAGGTTTCCTGGCCGGTCAAACAATGTTATGATAGTGGGGGTCAGCCTGGGAGTCTGAGCTGCCTGAGTCTCCATCTACATTGCTACCTACTGTACAAGGAACTACACAGGGGATGTTAAAGGACCGGTGACCAGGGGAAGTAGCAGCCACCAGTATTACAAGCCAAAAATAAAGCCAACTGTGCTCTTGTACTGCATGATTCAAATTGATTTTTATCAGAAGGTGGATGACCACGTTCAAAAACAACATATTGCTTACAGTGGAACTAAAGGCAAAACTTTTTTTTGCTTGATAGAGTAAGGGAGGGTTATAAGACCTAATAGTTTTTTTTTTTTTTTTGCCATCTGTGTCCCATTGGGAAGATTTCCCTTCACTTCCTGTCCCATAACGGTAGGCGAAAGGAAACCCCTAGTGTAACCAGGATTCCCAGACTTAGTGTCCCCATTGGAAGATTTCCCCTCTATTATATTGTTCTTGTGTCAACCCAAAATTTGGGATTTTCTATTACTTTCAATGATAATGGTAAACAGGAGAAATAGGGTGAATCTCCCTATCAAGGGCACAGACAGTAATACAAACCTACAGGTGTTCTAATCCCTCTCTGCTCTGTCCAAAATTTTAAAAAAATTAAAAAAGTTTTACCTTTAATTATTCATTAAAAGTAAGAAATGTCCTTTCCATTTGTGTACCCAGTATTGTATTGTGCCCTTCAAATTATTCCTGTTATATTTATGAGATCTGGCTTCTACTGCGAAGCAATGGTCTGTTTTACTTGTTTACCTATATTTTTTTCTGGTTTTCCAGCTGTGTTGTACTGAAAAAAAGTCAAAAGAAACATCCTTTCCAAAAATTAGATAAAAGTCTTGCCCAGAGATCAGCTTTATTCATTTCCACACAAACTAAATTTGTATTGAAAATGGTTTTAATAGTCATCCCCTGTGTTTTAGAACACACTGGGCGCTGGCTTACCTTGGAATGCTGCTCTTTCAGGTTGACAATAATACTGGGGTCATCCTTCTTGCTTGCCATCAATAATCGGAACATTTGCTCTCGGTATTTGCTCATAATCAGCTCCAGTGCTGACTGGTGTTCCTCCAAGGAAGTGCGAAGCTCTGGACAAAGAAAAACACTCAAATTGAGAAGTGGTTGGGGTGGAGAATAAAAAACGAAGATTATAATTCTCATGGGGCTGTTTAACAAAGACAGGAGAAAAAAAATGGTCACAGCAGAAATCCAATTTTGTTCAATTAACTTTCAAAAGTTTGTTTGGGCCAAGCTGCCCACATAAACTATTTCCATTGCTAAACAATGTGGCTACCATGTGTGCTGTAATGAACTGTAGTAGCATTAACTAGGTACAGTACGCGGAACTGTGTTCCGACCGTAAAATGATTCAGCCTGACTATCGCTGGCCAATCCCTTTAATTTACTTGAAATTCAGTTCATAGAGGCATCACACAGGGGAATTACTTAGGATCAGCAAACACAAATGCTCCTGCGCTTGGGGATGGACTCGATGCAGGCTACAACCATATTAAGTATGTCCTGGAACATGCGCACCTTGCTGCCCTCAAATAGAACAGGGGAATCCAAATATACTGAGGGCTCTGAGGAACAGACAAGTCCTCAAAACGCGTCAGCCTATTGGACATCTACACTCCCTATTGCGGACGGTTACTCAGTGTGGTGTTGACTAAGCTGTTCTTTTATAATGTGCCTTGACTATATTGTCGTTTATGAGTACAACACCTAATTTATTTCTTATTAAACATTTATTATGGTAATGCACTAGGCCTGTGCGCTCTCTGTTTGTTCTTTCCTCATTACTTAGGATGCTTTGCATGCAATGCAAATGTGGCCTGCCTAGAAATGCCCCACTCTTCCAGACCGAGATTCACCCATCAAGTACAGAGGAAGAGCATGTACAATTGTGCATTAATCAAGCGATAGCCAGAATTCAGCTTTACACAGAGCTGCAACTCCAGGGCAGTGAGTGATAAAGATATAGTTTTATAAGGGAGAATTGGTACACTTGGAATTAACACATCAGGTAGGTCTCAATAACATGTTCTCCTTAAGGGCTAGTTCACACCACAAAATCACACTCTAGATCTGTTCCGGATGCATTTCTGCATGTCCGTTAACAAGTTTTTGATGTGTTCTGGTGCTTTTTAGATGCATTCCATATTTCTTTCTGGGTTTTTTTTCACTTTACTGTCTGTCTGCCTTTTTGATGTGTTTTTTGATGCATTTTACCGTGTTCCAGTACAGTTCTGTGCAGGAAAAATGGAGCATATTCTACTTTTTTTCTGGAACCGGAACACACTGGAACTGCAAGCTCTGGTGTGAACTATGCCATTGAAAACCATGTAACCTACTTTCTATGTTTTTTGGATGCAGAAAAAAAGCACTGGAACACATGTGGTGCGAACTAGCCCTAATAAATTTGAGTGTATTTAAAAGCACATTGTTAAAAGTCAATGGCTGTGAAAGAACCAACCTTTGTTTTCTTGCTGAAGTTCCCTGATCTGCCGATTCTCCTGCTGTATTCCTAGCACCAGCGTCGACCGTGGTCGGTGTCTTGCAACCTCGTTCAGTTCCTGAATTTCATCTTGGTACTACAAGGGGAGCAATCAGTGATTACACCACAAACAATACACAGCACAGTACACAGAATGCTTGGAGTCCAACAAAAGATGGAGCAACTCTAGATAACTGCCAATAGCCATGGTAACTTCAACCGATACGTTCATTGACTTTAACCCTTTGGCGCCGGCGCCTCCTGGCCCTTTAAGGGTTTCAGAAGCTGGGAGGCGGGGCAGGTTTTAAAGTCATGTGACCGCCATGATTCGCCGTCACGGCGGTCACATGATCAGGAAAAGTCCCGATCGAAAGAGGAGATTGGGACCTTTCCGTGAGTACTGGACATGTGTGCTGGGAGTGCGCTCTCAGCACGTTTTTCTTAATTGCATGCAAATGTGTGGCCGCTCGGCGTGAAGGCCCAGACGCCGGAAGGCCACACATTTGCATGCGGCTGGCGCCAAGAGGTTAAGGTCTGGTTCACACCATGGTGCAGAGATGTGAGTTTTTCTGCACACATTCTGCAAGGGCACAAAGAAAACAATTGTTCTCTATGAGCCCTGTTCACACCACAACATCGGTGTCATGCGTGGATCTGCACAGGGATCTGCTATGTGTATAAACCTCACTGAAACACACATGAAAACTGATGTATACTCGTGTCTATGCAAATTAAATCTGCATGTTTTTTTTCCCATCAGTTTTTCTGCAAGTATGGTGTGAACAAAGCCTAAAAGATATGCACTATGTTATTATGGCTGTATATTTAAGAGGGACTGGTCAGCAAAACTAAATCATCCTATTCTTTATAGCCAAAGAAGCTTTCATCTTAGCCACTGTTTGATCCACAGTAGCCATGGTATTGCACATGTGATCAGTCCAGACACCACTCATTTGACGGCTTGACAATTCAGTTGAGAGCATAGACATCTATGACAGTTATCATTCATGGTATGCCTGAAATGTAACTGTTTTATCGATAGACAAAGAAGCTATTTTATAGTGTAACTTAAACTGTTTTCAGTTGTGACTTTTTAACGTTATCTTCTCCAATTTTTGGCTGAAATCAGCATACTACTGGGCTCTCATCTGATACCTGGACTGAGAAGCCTGCTCAAAGTTGTCAAAATCATAGTACTTGTGCAGTTTTTGACCTTGCTTACAAATGTCTCACACAGATCAGCAGCCCCTTGCTGTTTGACTTGCTACAAAGTTACAACATTATAGTCTGATCACTGAGGAGACTGAGGAAATGCTTCCAGCAAACCGATGACATCGTCTCAGCCTTGGCAAAGTCACTTCACTGGAGCTCAATAATGGCTTTTAATGATAAAAAGGTGGAGCTTTTGAGAAAATGATACTACTGCTGTATATTTTGACATATCAAGAATGTATTCATATTGAGAGGTCCACTATAATGCCAATAATCTCAACGATATGTGCAAATGATTTGGAAACCTTATTTGTGTACAGCTTATAACTATTTCTGTATATGGAAGCAGACATATTTGTTCATTATATATGTAGGCTCTACTTCTTACCCTTGCTACACAGTACTTTGCTCTCCATGCAATGCAGAGGATACACATAATAATTAACCATCACATTTTAGGACTGACAGTTTCAGGTAACACAGCAAAGTAGAAATCAGTTAGATTTTCCATGAAGACCAACTCTCCTTGACAAATACAATCTATTTATAAAAGACAGAAATCTTTCCCCAAATCAATTTATTGAACAACTGCATCATTGTGTATCTAGTCAGAATTAGGCTACCAGATTGCTCAGAATGATTGACAATGAGGTGTGTGGCTTACCCTGTACTCTTAGCTGCTATTTAACAGAGAAGGAAAAAAAAATGCAGCTCACAAGAATACACAGCATGCCAGTGTCCAAAAAGAACAGGTGCAGGTAGGATGGAGCTCTTCTACATGAACTATAGAAAGCTGAATCACAAAGACCGGATGCACATTGATGGAAGCCCCACCTAGGACCTACCACCTCTCGAATATGTGTTTCACACTAGAGATGGGCTTAATCATAGACATGACTAGGACTAAAAAAATGTATATTATATAGGGCGCGCTTGTTAGAGCCCAACCTCCGTAGCTGTAGGATAAAGGTGCCAGATGGATATCAGGGATGGATGGATGGATGGGAGCAGTAACACTGAGGCAGTTCTTCTTAGAGTGGAAGCAAGGCTCTAATGCAGTAAACATGAAAAAGAGAGGAAGGCACCTCTAAATGCAGTAGTGACAATTTATTAGTGAACAATAGATATATTGCACTTACAAGATAAATAGTTAAAAAGACTCATCGTGTGATGTAATAAGATCCAGGTGAGACATCCCTTTTCATGACTAGGACTAAGCCCATCTCTAGGGTGAAACGTATCAGCAGCAGGGGGGAGTCCTAGGTAAAGCTTCTATTGTACACATCCGGTACACTAACATTTTATGAAAATGCTGACATCAGTGTGTGGACAGCTTTTGTGATTAAACTGTTTAGCAAAATTTGCTTACATCTACTACAGAAGAAAAAACAAACCTCTCTATTATTATGATACAAGATTTATACGGTGCCAACAGTTTGAGCAGTGCTGTACATAATAAAGAGACAGTACAGTTACAATACAATTCAAGACAAGAGGGCTCTGCTCAAGACAGCTTACAATCTAAAGAAAAAATCAAGTGATAAAAAAGGAAATAACGGAGTGGGAATAAGTTGTTCAAAAAAGTAAACTTCAGCTGCAGGGGCGGACTGACAACTCATGGGGCCCCCGGGCAATAGGGGATCATGGGGCCCCTGTGTCCTTGCCCAAACTCAAAAAAGCCTATGAAAAAGGTACCAGGGGCATCTCATGGGGCCCCACTACTGACCCCGGGCCCTCGGGCAGTGCCCAAGTTTCCAAATGGTCAGTCCGCCCCTGTTCAGCTGTTAACTAGAGGCGGGGTAGGCCACCCTGAAGGGATGAGTTTTCAGGGATCTCCTAAAAGCAGGCAGAATGGGGGATAGCCTTAAGCTGGGTACATCACTTGTGTGGATGTAGGAATCCAAATTTTGTCTTTGTTCAGCCCATGATTAAATAGAAAAAAAAACAACTCAGTGTACCCAGCTTTACATGTTAGGGCAGGGGGCTTCAGACAACAGGAGGATTCCGAGAGGCGAGCATGGGAGGTTACAAGGGAGCTAGAGAACAGGGGTCTAGGGTAGGGTGACTAGGGTGGTTTAGGTGAGATTTTGGGATAAGTTTGGTGATATAGTTGAGGGAAAGTTGTGGATGGCTTCAGCTGGATAAGATGTATTGCTTTTTCTTTTTTTCCCCTCACAAATTGAGCTGGATAGAAGGATCATCCCAGCTTAGACATTGAATTATGACAGCAAGGACTCTCCACTATCAGAATACACTGATCTGCAGCTGCTGATGGAGATAAAGGTTTCCAACAAGTCCATTTGACAAAAACCGACCATTAGCTGCTTGCCACCCGCCCACAGTGGTTGTATTGTGAGTGGATGGCACCGGCAGGCCGGATGATATACTGGTACATTGCAACCTTTCTTCCAAGTGTGGGATGCACATGCGCATGCCCCCTGCTGTGATCGGACACAGCACGATTTTTGCAGCTGATTTCAGCCAATGATTCTGACTGTGGCCAATCACACACAGAGTTCTGTCTTTACAAAAACACAAAAAAACTTTGTGTACAGGGAACAGCGATTTGCCTATTTCTTGCAGGGAGAAAAAAGCAGCACATTATTACACTTTGTTAAGCACACAGTTGACCCCTTGAGTGCTCCAGATGTTTGTTAACCCCTTCCCAGCCGGTGTCATTAGTAGATTGTCAGTGCACAGTATTATCACTGATCACTGTATTAGTGTCACTAGCAAAGTCAGTGTCAGTTAGTGACCCTCCCAGATAGTGTCTCTTAGCACCAAATTGCCCGCAACCCTATCACAGTCTCACTATAAGTTGCTAATCCCCACTAATACAGTATAGGGACATTGCTGAGTAAATTCCAGTATACATACCATAGTTTGTGGAAGCTATAACTTTTGCGCAAACCAATTAATATACATTTATTGATTTATTTATTTTTTTTTATCTAAACACATATAGCAGGATAAATGTTGGTCTAAATGTATATAGGAACTAGATTTTTACATTTTTTTTTCTTCTATTGGATATGTTTTATAACAGAAAGTAGAAAATATGACGTTTATTTATTTATTTTTTAATATTTGATCTTTTTTCATTTATATTGCAAAAACAGAAAAACCTAGGGGTGATCAAATACCACCAAAAGAAAGCTCTATTTGTGTGGAAAAAATGATAAAAAAACTTTCATTTGCGTACAGCAGCCTCTCTAATCCTTTTCAGCGCAGAGGAAACCTTGACATTACTTTCCGGTCTCAGAGAACCCCTGCTAAAATGACTATCTACAATTCATGATACATTAGTGTGATAGTCAGTGGGAAGAATGCTCCTTACACTTGTGGTCATTGGGAAGAATTACCCCCTTACAGATTGCTAAAAAGATCAATGGTGTCATTGGGAACTTACCTGAGAGGCAAAAATTTCTCATTGCTCAAGGAACCCCTGGCAACCTCTGGAGGAAACCCTGGTTGAGAAACACTGTCGTACAGTGTTGCGTAACTGCACAATTGCCAGTTAAAGAAGCACAGTGCTGAATAGCAAAAAAATACTCTGGTCATGAAGATGGTAGAACCTTCCGGAGCTCAAATGGTTAAACTGACTTTTGTCACACAAGAGAGGCCAAACATGGATTCAAATTCAGACAGTTCTTGCTGAACTGGAGAAACTTTGATTCATATATGGCCAGCTTTTGTATGTTGTTTATACACTGCTCAAAAAAATTAAAGGAACATTTTGAAAACACATCAGATCTCAATGGCAAAAAAAATCTCATACTGAATATCTAAACTGCTATGGACTGGGTAATGTGTTAGGATGCCCCATCAAATGATGGAAATGAAAATGATCAACCTACAGAGGAATTGAATTCAAAGACACCCTGAAAATCAAAGTGAAAAAAATATGCAGCAGGCTAGTCCATTTTGCTGAAATTTCATTGCAACTTAAAATGGTACTCAGTAGCTTGTATGGCCCCCACGTGCTTGTATGTATGCCTGACAATATCAGGGTATGCTCCTAATGAGACGACGGATGGTGTCCTGGGGTATTTCCTCCCAGATCTGGACCAGGGCATCGCTGAGCTCCTGGACAGTCTGAGGTGCGTCGGATGGAGCAAAATGATATCCCAGAGGTGTTCTATTGGATTTAGGTAAGGCGAGCGAGGGGGCCATTCAATGGTATCAATTCCTTCATCCTCCAGGAACTGCCTGCATACTCTCGCCACATGAGGCCGGGCATTGTCGTGCACCGGAAGGAACCCAGGACCCACTGCACCAGCGTAGGGTCTGACAATGAGTCCAAGGATTTCATCACGATACTTAATGGCACTCAGGGTGCCATTGTCTAGCCTGTAGAGGTCTGTGCGTCCCTCCATGGATATGGCTCACCAGACTACCACTGACCCATCACCAAAACTGTCATGCTGAACGATGTTACAGGCAGCATAACGTTCTCCATGGCCTCTCCAGACCCTTTCACATATGTCACATGTGCTCAGGGTGAACCTGCTCTCACCTGTGAAAAGCACAGGGTACCAGTGGCGAACCTGCCAATTCTGGTGTTTAATGGAAAATGCCAATCGAGCTCTATGGTGCCGGGCAGTGAGCAGAGGGCCCACTAGAGGACGTCGAGCCCTCAGGCCACCCTCATGAAGTCTGTTTCTGATTGTTTGGTCAAAGACATTCACACCAATGGCCTGCTGGAGGTCATTTTGTAGGGCTCTGGCAGTACTCTGGCAGTACTCATCCTGTTCCTCCTTGCACAAAGGAGCAGACACCGTTCCTGCTGATGGGTTAAGGACCTTCTACGGCCCTGTCCAGCTTCCCTAGTATAACTGCCTGTCTCCTGGAATCTCCTCCATGCTCTTGAGATTGTGCTGAGAGACACAGCAAACCTTCTGGCAATGGTATGTATTGGTGCTCCATCCTGGAGGAGTTGGACTGCCTACCTCTGTAGGGTCCAGATATCGCCTCATGCTACCAGTAGTGACACTGACCCTAGCGAAACGCAAAACAAGTGAAAAATAATCAAAAAAGATGAAAAAATGTCAGTGGCCTCCACCTATTAAACCGTTCCTGTTTTGGGGGTTGTCTCATTGTTGTCCATCTAGTGCACCTGTTGGTAATTTCATTAACACCAAAAGCAGCTGAAACTTATTAACAACCCCCTCTGCTACTTAACTGACCAGATTAATATCCCAGGAGCTTCATTGACTTGATGCTATACTCTTATTAAAATTGTAAATTTGCAGTGCTCAAACAAATTGAATTTTACACTTTTTATCTGTTGGCCAAATGAAGACCATTCAAGGGATTGACAGAGAGGGGTAGTGGACACTGAATGATTGGTAAGGTGGATGAGTCTGACAGCAGCATTTATGATAGACTAAAGGGAAATAGCCTGTGTATAGGTAGGCCAACTAAGCCACACCAATGAAAGGATAGAACTGCAAGCAGGCACAAATGTGAAAGTCCCATCAAAAATGACTTCCAGTAAATTACTGCAATAAGAACTCAGTATGACCTCTGAAATTACAGCACATGTACTCTCCTGTGCCATCAGCAATATTCATGTTATGGCACTCCACCGACCTGTTTCATTGCCTCCACCCGTTTGTTGAGCACCGTCGTCTGCTCGATAAGGGCCTCTGCTGCACTGTCATGTTCCCGTAACCGCTCCACCAGAGATTTTGCATCGGCCAGAACCTTTTCGATCGTACAACTCATATTGCTGGCTGTTAGAAAACAATTTACAGTCATATGAAATACTTCATTACGCGCAATGTGTCACCCAATACATCACAATCTTTCAAAATCAACTTTAGATTGATCAAAACTCTAACATGAAGACCTATCTAAACTATCTAACCAATTTCAATCCAAGCAATTATTATCCAGTCAGGCAGGCCCCTGTGTAACATAGTTGTTGGTAGATCTAAAGGAAATTGTACAACCAAGATTACAATGTGTGTGGTGAGCATAAAAACTGCCTCTCACAACTTTTTACCTCTTTAACTTGGAGAAACCCTTGAAATGACTTTCAGGTCACAGGGACCTCCTACTAGTAATTACTATATCTACAGCTAACCATGCAATAGCATGAAAAGAAAGTTACAAAAAAAAAAAAAAGAATAAATAAAGTATTAAGGGATGCTCAGGATGTAAAAAAAAAACTATAATAATATCCAGAACACAAATGCAGAAATTTGTAGTGTTCCCTCTTTGGTGGCCAGTGCTATGATGGTCAATGGAAAAGTGCCCCCTTACACTGGTAGTGCATTTGGCTGTTGGCAGCATAAATCAATGATCTGAATGGCTTCACAAAATGATGATCACATGCTTGATGAAGGGGTCCAGTGTCTCCCTGCACACATAGGTGTTTACAGGCCTATTAGAAGAGGCGTGTTTTCAGGCTGAGAAGAAAAACCATCACCAGGGCATTCAGGAGAGGAAAATAACACCTGACACAGCTGAATGCACTTTCCTTTAGCCATGTGACAACCCCATTATTATGGGTTCTCCTTTCACCGTAGGGATCAGTGCTCCATCATCGGATTCCCAGACCAAGACACATACACACTAATGCAGGCCATAGATGGGGAGAAAAACTGCAGATTTTTCTTTTAAAAAACGAAAAATCGGTTGTTCAAGTGGCCGACGTTACCATCAATGGTAAAAAAAAAATCGGCCGATTTTCTACCCGTCTAGAGCCCGCAAAAAGTGTCCCTGCAGAGAGCTCTGCTATTTCTTTGACAGTTCTCTGACAGTTCCTTGACATTTATAGAAGTTGCAACAATGTATCTATTTGTTTCCATTTAGGATACAGATGTTTTTATTCGGAAACAAATGATACAATGTTTCAACCCTTAAATGTCAAGGAACTGTCAGAGAACTGTCAGAAATCGGAGCTCTCTGCAGAGACACTTTTTGCTGGACTGGAATTCTTCTTATTTTCATCCTACTTCTTCTTCTTCTTCATCCTCATCCTCATTCCTCATCCTCTTCTTCTTCATCCTCATCCTCTTCTTCATCCTCATCCTCTTCTTCATCCTCATCCTCTTCTTCATCCTCATCCTCTTCTTCATCCTCATCCTCTTCTTCTTCTGCATCCTCATCCTCTTCTTCATCATCATCCTCATCCTCTTCTTCATCCTCATCCTCCTCTTCTTCTTCTTCTTCATCCTCATCCTCTTCTTCTTCCTCATCCTCTTCTTCTTCTTCCTCATCCTCTTCTTCTTCTTCATCCTCATCCTCTTCTTCTTCCTCATCCTCTTCTTCCTCATCATCCTCATCCTCTTCTTCATCCTCATCCTCTTCTTCATCCTCATCCTCTTCTTCATCCTCATCCTCTTCTTCATCCTCATCCTCTTCTTCATCGTCTTCCTCTTCTTCTTTTTCTTCTTTTTGTCTTCCTCTTGCAGGTCACTGCTCATGCGCAGATTTTTTTATCGGTAAAAAATCGGCCGATTTGCCCACTAATTGCCGCGAAAATCGGCCGATCGGCAAAATCGGCCGATTTTTTTCCAACTTTACCGAAAAAAAAAAAACGGCCAAAATACCGAAAAACGGCCGACCAAATCGCCCACTAACGATCCGAAAATCGGCCGATTTTATTTTCGGCCGAAAAATCGGCCGATTTTTTCGACCCATCTATGGCCTGCATTATACTTTAGTAACTCTGCCAACCTTCTTTCATTTCTTTCTTCCAAGGCATATCTTTCACCTACAGCTGACCTCTCTTACTAATCAACTCTGGAGTTATGTTATAATTTCAAGATATATAGCTGGTGACCTGGAATGTTTGTTGGTATGACTTACACACCAGTTTATAGCACTTCTGAGAACAGTGACTACAGTGTGATTTTGTCAGCAGGTCCCACCCAATGATTTATGGCTAAAACCTGCTGATTGGCTGTAGCCAAAGACAGCACAGAGTCCAGTTGTTTACAAACACAGAGGGCTTTGTACACAGATCAGCGATCTGGATGTTTCTTCTCCCTGCAAAGCGGGGAAGAAAAAAAGCCAGATCTCTTAGTAAAATACATATCAAACACATTACACGTATTAGGCACTCAGTCAACCCGTTGGCTACCCCTTGATGTTAACCCCTTCCCAGCTAGTGTTATTAGTACACTGACAATGTACAGTACTATACCTGATCACTGTATTAGTGTCACTATTGATGTCAGCATCAGTTATTCAGTTAGTGTACCTCCCAACGACAGTCAGTTAGTGCCAGATTGCCCGCCACACTATCACAGTCCCACTATAAGTCGCTGATCATGGCCATTACCAGTATAGCATCATAGAGTGGGGAAAATAAGGATTTCATCCCCTGCAGATTTTGTAAGTTTGCCCACTTACAAAGAAATTAAAGGTCTATAGTTTTTTATCATAGGTGTATTTTAAATGATAGAGACGGAATATGAACCAGAAAAACACACGATACAAATGCTATACATGGAGTTGCAGTTCAGTGAGTAAAATAAGTATTTGATCCCCAAGCAAAAAATGACTTAGTACTTGGTGGAGAACCCCTTGTTGGCAAGCACAGAGGTAAGACATTTCTTGTAGCTGGTTACCAGGTTTGCACACATCTCAGGAGGGATTTTGGTCCACTCTTCTTTACAGATCTTCTCTAAATCCTTAAAGCCAAGTTCCACTCAAAAGCGGAAGCTCTGCTTATTTTCCTCCTCCCCCCACCCGCCACAATTGGCACCTTTGGGGGGGAGCTGATACCTGTTCAGCCCCCACCTCCCTCCCACAGACTCCTGGGAACTTTCACAGGTCCCAGAAGACTGCCGGACCAATTGGGAGGCGCAGCACGACTTGCACATGCACAGTGTGCACCAGGCTGTGAAGCCGCAAGTTGTCACAGCCTGTTGCCCACAGTTGAGATGCCGGTGCCATGGAGGAGAGCAGGGGTGAAGGGACAGCGCAAGTGAGAACATTGATGAACATTGTGAACAAAATGATAGAAATTTAATTTGGGTACCATAGCGCATGACCACGCAATTGTCAGTTAAAATAGCGCAGTACTAAATAGCAAAAAATGCTCTGATCATGAAGAGGGTTAAACCTTCCGCAGGTCACGTGGATAATAATAATAATAGTACTACCCATACCAAAATGACCTTGGAATGTGAATCATGTCTTAAAAAACTGACAATAAAAATATTTTCAAAACTAAAGTTACAGGGCACATTAGTGCATAGGGGCCGACAGCCTGAACTACAGTACATGGAGGGGATACAGGCAGCTGACACTCCTGGAAGCCTTGGATGTGCAGTGACCACTGAAGGGATAGCCAAGTATAAACCTAATATAGGAACTTTTTATTGCATTTTTGTTATAAATAAATGGCAGACTTGCTTTAAATAACGTACTATGTTCTAAAATCTGTGTGGCCCTAAGTGTACAAACAGCTGAGTCAGTGAGCTGTCAATGAGCCTCATGGATGCCTATGTTTAGGTAGGGAGAAAATGTGACCTCCGACCTCAACATGTCAACACAGAGAAGCAGACATGCCTAAACATTTGCTCATACTTGTGTTGGTCAGGCAGCATCCCTGAAACACATTAAGAAAAGTTCTATAAGGGTTTAGGTGTAGTATGGATGCCAGCCCCTTTGAATGTACCACATCCCTTATAGAAAAACAACCAAGACTTGTATTTGTATAATTATAGACTCAACCTGAAGAAGTGAACTCTTGTTCATAAAATGTGTCAAGACTTTTCAACACCTCCCCATCACTGCCCCATATACATAGATGTTGTTGAAGCTTTATAATTACATTATTTAATGGTCTAGTAGTAGAATGTAGTGGATGGTTGAAGGCTGAGGTGTGGATGTCACTTGAGGTTTATAGAATGTCTAAAATTAGTTTAATGATAACTTAGCCCTTGTTCACACTGATTTGTTTCTGATGCTTTCTAAAACATATAGATTTGCAAGTCGAGGGAGATAACATGGCTTTCTATGGAGGTTGTTCACCCCTATGTGTTCCAGACATGCTGCAATTTCCAAAAGGGTCCTGTGCGTGTTTGCTGTGATGCAGTCCATTTTTGAGCCCCATAGACTTGAATGGAAACACAGTGAAAATGCATAGGTGTTCAAATGCTATGAAATTTCAGTGTAAGATACACCTATCTCTGATTTCACAAAAGTAGCCTTGAGGTGATTGTAGCTGCACTAGTGCATTTGCGACAGAAACAATTGAGTACTGACGTGATACATTTTTTTATTTGCACTAACATATAATTTTGAGGACAAGCTTTCGGGGTATGTCCCCTTCTTCAGTACTGCCTGGACCTTGAAGAAGGGGACATACCCCGAAAGCTTGTCCTCAAAATTATATGTTAGTGCAAATAAAAAAAGTATCACATCAGTAGTCAATTGTTTCTGACAGAAGTAGCCAGAACAGAAATCACAGTTGTGCAAAATCGCATGAGAATTGCACCGCAATTGCTCCTGAAACTGCACTTGAAAACATAGAAATCCCTCCGCATCACTGTTAACTGTTAACCAGGCTTTAAAGTGATAATCCAAAACGCATTTTAGAAGTTAAATCGGGCAAGCTTATTTACCAACAATCATTGGTGATCATTGTCAGCAGGACTGCCAAAATTCTCTGTTGTGTTCCTTGCCAGACACAGTGTGAGCTTTGATCTTCTGGGTGCTGATGCTGTGACTTCCTATGTCATACAGTGAAGATAGAGGGTCACTCA